TGACGGAGTGAGCTCCCGTCTCTAGTTCCAGCTCCTGCCAACCTAGCAGTTTGAAAGCGAGAAATTGCAAGTAGATAAATAGGTACCACTTCGGTGGGAAGGTCACAGCGTTCCGTGCGCCTTGGTGTTTAGTCATGCCGGCCACATGACCACGGAAAACGTCTTCGGACAGCGCTGCAGTTCACAGTCTGCAGTTCAGCGTCTTAACCACTTGAGCCACCGCAACTTGATGGTACTGACCCGGATGGCCCAGGCTAGCCCAGTCTCGTCAGATCTTGGAAGCTAAGCAGGGTCTGCCCTGGTTAGTACTCGGGTGAGAGGCCACCAAGGAATCCCAGGGTTGCTACACAGGGGCAGGCAATAGTCAACCACCTCTGTATGTCATTTGCTCTGACTTGCATGGCCCAAGCTAGCCTGATCTCATCAGCTCCCGGAAGCTAAGCAGGGTCAGCCCTGGTTGACACTTGGATGGGGGACCACCAAGGAAGTCCAGGGATACTATGCAGGGTCTGAACCTCTGAACCTCCCAGGACAGCAGTTCGCTGGGCGCCATGGAAGATTCCCCATGGCTCAGTTCAGTTTATTTCGATATGAGATCAGCTCCCAAAAGGACGAATAAAAAACAATACAGCTGCACCGTACCATACCAAGACCCGCAAAAGAAGACTCATATGTGCCATTATTAATTCGGCATTTCAGAATTCGCACACACGTTTCACAAGAGGGGTGGTCCGTTGTTTGAAGACTTGACCGTCTGCTCTCATATTGCGCGTGCCATGATACAAAACTTCCTTACGTTACGAGCGATTTCTTTAGAGGAGCCTGAAAGGAGGAGGCAAGTCCAGAAGTGCTCTGATCTTCCTGGGGAATTGGCGTAATATAATGGGAACGCATTTCGTTATGGTGGGGGCAGCGTAATAATGCGTGACCGACTGTCTCGGCCTTTCCCGTTTGACAAGGGCAGCCCCATTAGGAATGAGGAAAGTGAAGATACCTGCCTTCCAGAAAAGCCGAGGGCAGGTCATTGAATTGTGCCAAAGTGCAGATTCTCTGGTATTTAGGAATCTCTAAGGCAGTGAGATAGGAGCTGCGGTGGCTCAAGTGGTTAAGACGCTGAGCTGCAGGCTGGAAGGTTGGTAGTTCAGCTGTTCGAGACCGAGTGCTGCAGATGGAGTGAACCCCCGTCTCTGGCCCCAGCTCCTGCCGACCTAGCAGTTTGAAAGCAAGAAATTGCAAGTGGATAAATAGGTACCGCTTCGGTGGGAAGGTAACAGTCTTCTGTGCGCCTCGGCGTTTAGTCATGCTGGCCGCATGACCACGGAAACGTCTTTGGACAGCGCTGGCTCTTTGGCTTGGAAACGGAGATGAGCACCGCCCCCTAGAGTCGGATTTGACTGCCTTTCGAGCAAGGGAAACCTTTACTTTTAAGGCAGTGAGATAGCCAAAAATTGTTAGTATGGTACATTGGAGTAGGGTACTGCTGTAGCCAGGCCCCGTCAGAGAGGTAACAAGGCTGGTAAGGGAGAATCCTTACTCTTGGAATTTTCCTCCCAGAGTTCTGAGCCCACTGGAACGATAATTATCCACAAAAATAAGAGGTCTTAGTCCCTGAGGGTTACAATTTGGTTTTCACCAGTAGGTACAGTTGCCAGGTCCCTCCTGGCAACTGGTGGGGGATGGTGGAGGACTTACCAGGAAAAAGAGAAAGGCCGAGGTCACGTTGTTGGCATTGCGTAGGAAGTGACATTGTCAGGCCAGCAACTTCTGGGCGACACTCTGGTATTTGGGCCAAAACTCTGTGGTAAAACTGGCTTCTACCATGGAGGTGTTGCCCAAATACCAGAGCATTACCCAGAAGTCGCTGGCGTAATGATATCACTTCCTGGGCAATGTGGGCAACAGGCCTGGGCCTTCCTCTAACCCTAACCCAGCTGATTGGCAGGTGGGGGGCAGGGCCTGGCGGTGGGGGACCCCTGCCTCCACCATGGGTTCTGGCAACCCTACCAACAGGTGGTCATTTGAACCCACATACATGGGGCAGCTGCAGTGGCTCAAGTGGTTAAGACGCTGAACTGCAGGCTGTGGAAGGTCAGTAGTTCAGCAGTTCGAGCCCCGAGTTGCCGCATGACGGAGTGAGCTCCTGTCTCTAGTTCCAGCTCCTGCCAACCTAGCAGTTCAAAAGCAAGAAATTGCAAGTAGATAAAGAGGGACCACTTCGGTGGGAAGGTAACAGCGTTCCGTGCGCCTTGGTGTCTAGTCATAGAAGAAGAGAAGAAGAAGAGATTGGATTTCTACCCTGCCCTTCACTACCCAAGGGAGTCTCCGAGCGGCTTACAAACTCCTTTCCCTTCCCCTCCCCACAACAGGCACCCTGTGAGGTAGGTGGGGCTGAGAGAGCTCTTGACAGAAACTGCTCTTTTTTCAAGAACAGCTCTTATCAGAACTATGGCTTGCCCAAGGTCATCCAGCCAAGGTGCAAGTGGAGGAGTGGGGAATCAAACCCGGTTCTCCCAGATGAGAGTCCGCGCACTTAACCACTACACCAAACCGGCTCTCAACCACG